TTATACTGTACTATGCGTGCTATGCCGTGCTATGCTTCAGTCCTACACCCTCCACTCATGTCCACACGGTGTGATCTTCTGGGAGCAGCAGGTAAACTGGTGCACTTCCGCTCTGTGGCGCCAGAGAGCAGCACAGCGCGTTTTTCGGTTACATGAAGTTTGTCCTCTGCGGCTCGCCGTAGGTGCCCGGTACTGGAGGTCGGGCATGCTCATGAAACGTCCACTGCGAAATGCTATGCAAACGTCAAAAATGAGCGCGATTAACGAGAAAACACAGAGATATGTGACACGGGCGGTTTTTTAACCCGCCTTTCTGCTGCGCCCACAGCCGGACTCTTGAGGAGAAGCCGGAGAAAAGCCGAAGCAGCGCCGAGCAGCGTCTGTCCGTTTTGTCCTACAAAGGCGCCGAGTGGAGGCCCCGGTTAGCTAACCTGCCGGCGGAGGACGGCTTCCAGGGACACATGAAACAGTAAAGACGGTCCTTCTGTAGAGGGAAGCGAGCTCCAACATGAGGAAGGACGTGAGGATCCTGCTGGTCGGGGAACGTAAGTAGAAGTTAATCCCTGAGCGGCTGCTAGCTAGCATGCTAAGGGCTAATGCTAGCAGACAGAGCTGTCAGTGGGTGCACTCAGTTCATCTGCAGGCTACAGGGAGAGACAGGCTCTGGAAGGCATCCACTGTCATTAACCAAAGTAAATCAAATCCAGGTCATCTGTACAGCACAGAACCAGAACCAGCGTTGACACATTACCGGTTAAAGTTTGGACAAAAAGCAGGAGAGCCTAAAAACTCGCCAACAGATGAGTAAAACACACGTGTGTGCTGATAGGACTTGTCTTTAGAATACATTCGTCAGAGTTTGGTTTCTGTCCGGTGATGAGGCTGTGTGTTGGTGATCACAATCAGAGGAGATGTGAACATCTCTCTCCTGGAGGACCTGTTCTGTCCCTGGTCCAGACGCACTGGTGTACAGACAGGTGGAGGGATCCTTGTGAGCCACACCTTGCTGGTGACACCTTCATTCTTCATGGCTCAGATCAACAAGGTTCTGGTCCATGTAGACGTGATAGCATCACACCGCTGCTGCAGGTTTAAACCTAGCCCACATCCACATTGTGAAGGGCTCTGTTGGATGGAGATGTGGTGACTGGAGGACGACTGTCATGTTCAAGACTCCAGTCTGAGCTGATCTGAGCTGTGTGTCCCCGTGGTTGTCCTGCTGGAGGTAGCATCAGAAGATGGGTACGCTGTGGTCACAAAGGGATGGATGTGGTCAGCAGCAATACTCAAAGGCCCTTTACACGATGCCCAGTTGGTACACAAGGGCCCAAGGCGAGCCAAGACCCCCAGCATTACAGCAGCAGCAGCCTGATGTGCTGTACGAGCCAGGATGGATCCATGCTTCATCTGGTTGATGGCAGGTTCTGACCCAACCATCAGCAGAAGTGGACAGTCACCACACCAGATATTCTGTGTTCCTATTTCGGTGAGCATGTGTGAACTGCAGCCTCAGCTCCCTGTTCTTGGCTGACAGGACGAACAGCCGCTGTGATCTTCTGCTGCTTCATCTGCTTCAAGGGTCAGCGTGTGCCTTCAGAGAGTCTTCTCCTTGGTTATAACAGTGGTTACTGGAGTTTCTGTTGCTTTTCTATCACCTCAAACAGTCAGATTCTCCTCTGGCCTCTGGCACCAGCAAGGTTTTATTGGCCAGAACACTGCTGCTCTCTGGATGTTGTTCCTGCCAGGCCCCTGTGAGCCCAGAGCTGGTTGGAGTGACGGTCTCAGTAGATCAGCAGCCTGTCTGGCACCAGCAGCAGTAAATACACATTCAGGGTCCCTGAAGTCACCTCTGATGACCGCTTTAAGCTTCAGCAGGTCGTCTTCACCTACATGCATTGAATTGCTATTGTGTGATTGGCTAATGAGATACTGACGTTGACGAGCGGTTGAACAGGTGTACCCAATGAAGCGGTCGGCGAGTGTTCTTTGCAGGACTGCTGTACTGGACTTGATTGGATCGAATGAGAAAGCCTAATATAAACTGGAATTATAGAATAAATAAATAAATAAAATCCAATAAGAAAATACATCTTTCTTGATAAATGACATCCACGGTTCCAAAAACAGATGCTCATACGTGTCCTGTTGTGGGATTCGCTGTTTTTGCTGTAGTTAGCAAAGGTTTTGAGGGATAAATAGTTGGGTGATGACAAGATCTCAACCTGTTTTAGGTCTGTGGAATGAGGATCTAATCTTACCAAACCATATTTCACCTGGTCTGCTGGTTCTCTCCGGTGTTCTCGGCACTTTTCAAATTCCAGTTGTGGCTCTGCATGTCGGCCTGCCGCCGCAGGAGAGCTGGGCGACAGCGTGAAGTTGAGGAGAGGTCAGCGGTACTCAGCTGTTCTGTGAAGACACTGAGAGGCGACTGGTCCTGACAACCAGAAAACTAACTGTTTCAAAGTGACCATCACTAGAATAAAGCAGAATGCTGATTTTTTTGTCCAGACTCCAGTTAGAATGGAGAAGAGCAGCATGTCCTCACAGAAGAGGCAAACAGCAACAGCATTAAACAGCCTTGCATCTATTTTCCTCAAGCTTTTCATGATTGTTATACGTGTGTGCTGCAGTTGGCTGGTTGTTGTTTTGGGTGGTGTCTGAGCCTGAGGCCAAACTGAAGCAAAAGTAAAATGTCTGTGTGTTTATTGTTCAGAAAGCTTGTTTAGTGTGTGTGATATATTCTGATGTGTTTGAGACGCACCTGAATAAATGGACAGTATTTGCTGAAATATAGTAATATTTCCTCTGTTGTTGGAGTGCTACAGTTCCCAAAGTGAGAAAAAAACTTGGAAAACTTTGGGGATTGTGCTACAGACATACAGGGAAGGTGTGTTGATGAGCAGAGCGGCTTTTTGCCTGGTCTTTCTGTTGTACGCTCACTTTGTGCTGGACTTTACTGAGTGTTCTGGGAGATTCACGGCACTTGGCTGCAGCTCTTAACGCTCCTCAGCTGCTCTTATCTGGTCCATGTCACTTCACACATCACCCAGATGTTGCAGTAACAACAGTCAGCTCCCGAGTTAGTGGAGCACATCTGAAGAGTGTTGGTCATAACGGCGTGATTCTTGTGCCCATGCAGCCAAGGTGGGGAAGACGTCGTTGATCATGTCTCTGGTCAGCGAGGAGTTTCCTGATGAGGTGAGTGTCAGCAGGCAGCCAGACGATGCTGTAACTATGGTAGGAACTGTCCTCCTAGCTGTTTATTGTACACACACACATTCTGGTTGAATGCTTGGAGCTTGCTTGGTGTCGAGGTTTTGCATCGTCTTATTCTCTCCTCCAGGTTCCCCTGCGAGCGGAGGAGATCACCATCCCAGCCGACGTCACCCCAGAGAGGGTTCCCACACACATTGTGGACTACTCAGGTAACTCCCACGGCACACTCACCACCTCGTCTGGGAGTCTCGGTTAGCTAAACACAGCTCCTTCTAGTATGATCCAGACTGGTGATAATCACAGTAAGCTGTGTGTAATAGCTGGAAGGGCCTGACAACATGTGAAACACTGATGTGCCTTTTCAACGTTCATAGAAGCAGAGCAGTCAGACGAGCAGCTGTATCAAGAAATCTCCAAGGTTGGTCTGATTTAGCGCCTCTGCTCACCTGGTATCACAGCGTATGTTAGCATGTGTTGGCTCGTATGTGCATCATAGAATAAATGAGCTGTCTGTCTTCGTAGGCAAACGTTATCTGCATCGTTTATTCAGTCAACAACAAGAAGTCGATTGAAAAGGTCAGTCTGTGCTCAGTGCAGCTATTCAAATGCATAACTGCAGGAAGATTAATTAGTGTTTGTTAAGAAGCTCTAATCGTTGACACTGTGTTTTTCTCCTGCAGGTGACCAGCCACTGGATTCCCCTCATTAACGACAGAACGGACAAAGACAGCAGGTGTGTATGTGGTGAAGAAGCAAGTTGTTTTCAGTATGGATTCATGCAGACTCTTTTCTAATATAAAATGGATATTGTTTAATAACTGTCTTGTTTTCTCTTACTGGAATTCAAAAGCCTAAAAAAATCCAGTTTGAAAATCCTCACATTGGAGTAGCTGCATCCAGAGAGTTCTCTTGAGTTTTAGCTGAAAGCAAAACAAAAACTCAGTAATGAGCTTCAGTGCAGATCCAGCTCCTGATCGCTCCGTAATAAATGCTTGATTGCAGGGTGCCATTGATTCTTGTGGGAAACAAGTCGGACCTGGTGGAGCACAGCAGCATGGAGACCATCCTGCCGATCATGAATCAGTACCAGGATATCGAGACCTGCGTGGAGGTAAAAGATGGACTCACACTGTGTACATACAGCTCCTGGCTCTGTTGAAGCAGGTCTGTCAGAGCTCTGGTCAGTTAAACGGCAGCTTGGAGGAAGCAGTTGAGCTCAGTGGAGCTGTAACTGAAACACCAAAGGCTGATTGAAGTGCTGTCAGAGTGAGACAGACGGTGCAGGACAAATCAGCCGCCAGCTTCCATCCGACTCCCCCAACACTCACTTATAGTGTCTATAAGTGACTCCCCCGAGTCACTTATAGATTCATGTTACCGAACAGGGAGGCCAAACCCTGCTGACTGAAGAGGTGTGAGCGTGCTGAGAGGCTTTCTGTCACGGAGAGAAGAGATTGGCCTCCGTCTAGTTCAGACTTCCCTCTGTCCTCAGACGGATCAGCTCCAGGGTTCAGAGGGGACTGTAGGAGGACGTGAGGGACGGCACGTTGACAGAGGACCGTTATGACGGTCGCACAGCTGGAGATGCATGGAATGAACGACATGTGAAGCAGCGTTTAACGGCTCAGCAGGGACCAGGCTGAAGCTAGACGAGTCTGTTTGGCTTTAACAGTGGTGGACGGAGTAGTACAGGCTTTTATTCAAGGAAAAGTAGCAGCATTACAGTTTAGAAGTATACTGTTCATAAGTATCACTGACAACAGTGTTGGGGATTATCCATAATGATTAGTACTGTGGAGCTACAGTAGTGCTGAGTGCTGATTAGCACAGATGATGTTGATGATGACGATGATGGATGCAGTACGCTGCATTCTGGTGTTGTACTTCCCATGCACATTGTAGGTTTTACAGTTCATTTGCAAAGTAGCTTGTTATTCATTGGTAATTGTGCTGTCTATAGTAAATCAGTATATGGTGACATAAAGTGAAAATAACGAAACACATGTGCTTCGTTACCAGGGCTGCTGCTTATTGTTGTAACTGTAAGTTTGATTTATCAGAATATTTTATTTTCTGACAAAGATCTAATTTAATTGAAGGTTATTTTAATTGTGATTTTTGAGCGTTTATATAGTGTATTTAATATATAATATAAGGCTCCAGCCCCCCTGCGACCCCAGTGAGGAGTAAGCGGTGTATAGATAATGGATGGATGGAATATATAATATATAGAGTATTTAATATATAATATATAGAGTATTTAATATATAATATATGGTGTATTTAATATATAATATATGTGTATTTAGCAGAAGAAAAACATTACAAGACCAAAGAGTTTTCCGTGCGCCCATTTATTGATTTAGTGCGTAATCGACATTTCCTCATCCTTCTGCTCAAGAGCTGCTTTGCTGAGTATTCATTCATTTTTTTGGCCTTTTTTTCTTTAGTGTTCTGCCAAAAACCTGAAGAACATCTCTGAGCTGTTCTACTACGCCCAGAAGGCTGTTCTTCACCCGACCGGACCCCTGTACTGCCCGGAGGAGAAGGAGGTGAGCTCAGCCAGTACATTCTGACTTGTTGTAGCAGGAAAGCTGCTGTTCACACCTCCTATGGCAGGACAGACACACTGTGCTAGTTGCTGGTCACTTTAATCTAATGCAACAGGGACAGAAGCTGAATTCTTCCAGCATCTCTCTCAACAAGAAGGGTGATGTTATGTTTATTCGAACACAGAACTCATAGACTCATTTCTGAACGGTTGACAGGTCTATTCAGACTCATTCTTCTTGACCAGATCAGAAACTCATAAATGCTCTTTCCATGCGTCGGCAGAGGAGCTGAGGTCTGGTGTGACCCTGCTTCTGTAACACACATCACTACTGAAAGCTTTAACCTTAACATGCATGAACATCATGCATCTCAACATGTGTCCTAGCAGCTCCATCCCACATGTGGGGAGGATAAAGAAGGCTGAGCTGCAGGCAGCCGACAGGCTGGTGCTCAAAATTAAGGTGCAAAATCACCGTCAAGTAATACTTCCTGGTGTGCGTACTGCAGGAAACGCTACGTACTTAAAGTAAAAACAAAGTTTTCAATTTGGAACAAACCCAAAATTTGTTGAGCTGTTTGTTTTTCTGTTGTTTAACAGTTCAGTTGAGGCTTAGCCCAGCACAGGTTCCTATCAGCCCGTTCTACCAGTGAGCCTAGAGATGGCATCAGTCTACAGCTTCACTTCAACAATAACAAAAGTGTGTGTCACCAGCTGAAGGATTCCATCTCTCTGTTACAGCTCAAGCCTTCCTGCATCAAGGCTTTAACTAGAATATTTAAAGTGTCAGACCTGGACAACGACGGCATCCTCAATGACAACGAGCTCAACTTCTTTCAGGTAACGTCACATTCACAGCTACACAAGAGCTCAGATCTGTGGATCAACTTAGCTGGACAGCCTGATGACTGTCAGTCAGCAGGGAAGGTGCAGTACGTGAAGGAGAAAGCTTGTTTGGACTCACGGCTCTCTTCAGAGCTCCTCACAAACCTGCTTCATGGAGCGAGAGATAAAAGTTCAAGCCTGATGTCTGGGGGCTGGTGTCTATGTCTCATAGCTAAGGCCAAACAAGCATTATGATCAGGTTAACGGCATGTAAGCAGGCAAACACAAGTACAAGCTGGTTGTTCACGTCGTTGTTTGGAAGAGCTGCAGATGTGGTCCAGGCAGAGCCAGCGGTGAAGCTTGGGCTCATCTCACATCTGCTCCTAAAGCTGCTGCTGCTGCACAAATCCATCGTCTGAACTCGCTCTGTTCTTTGAAGACATCACCAACACTCCTGTTGGCTGAATGTTTATATTCATCATATATTATCATTGCATTATGTACATACACACATTAAATTGTGAGTGTGAATCAGTCGGTGCCGCTGAACCTGTTTTCCTTCTGCAGAGCTAAGAGCAGAGCTGTCGCGTTGTGTAGAGATGGTCACAAAAAGTCTGTTGGATCAGGATGGCTTGCTTCAACATCATGTGTTGTTACGTAAGAGGGTCGTTTAGAATGGAAACCAATCAAAGATTAGATAAAACTTTATGAATCCTGAAGGAAATTCTTGTGCCGGATATTCCCAGCAAAAACAAATGACAACATCAGAAATGCCCAAAAGGTAGAAGAGCAGTAAGACATAAGTTCGATGAATCACTGAAATAAATAAGGTAAACTACAATAAGGCTCGAATAGAACAAGTGATGCTGAGGTCAGAAGTAATACTGAAAAAGAAATACTGCACATGACACTGTTGGACATGGAGGTGAAATATTACACATGATAATGAATGTTAAACTGAGATGAGAACATGAAGTTAAACGATACAGGGTGAATGTGAAACAGCGTGGCAGCATCTCACAGCTGCTGTGTGTGTGCTTTGCAGAGGACGTGTTTCAACACTCCGCTGGCACCTCAGGCCTTGGAGGACGTCAAGAACGTGGTCCGGAGGAACATGACGGACGGAGTCAAGGACAACGGACTCACGCTCAAAGGTCAGACGCTGCCCTGGCTCCTCTCCTTCCTCCGGTCAACTCCACAGTCCCCCTATTCTTCAGTTTCTCACTATGGAGTGTTTCATTGCAGGCTTTCTGTTCCTGCACACCCTCTTCATACAGCGAGGTCGACACGAGACCACGTGGACTGTGCTGAGGAGGTTCGGGTACGACGACGACCTGGAGCTCACACAGGAATACCTGTTCCCCCTGTGAGTGTGGACTGCAGTGGTATTCTGTGATGTTTAGTACCTTTCTTTCACTGTCGCGATGGGAGCGAGGAAGACGTTTGTACCGAACCCTTCCTATTGGATAATCCTGGCATCGATGATAATTCTCAGGTCCCCGTTTAGGTTCATCCAACTATAACAAATGCTGTCTAACACATCAGTCACAGTCATGAAGGTCATGTGTTCAGCTCTTGTGACAACAGAAGGAGTTGCTTCTCTCACTAACCTGCTCTGGTTTACGTGTGAGTGAACAGCAGCACTGTCAGAAGGCTTCAATCTGGTCTTTGGTAGCAGTAGGTTGTAATGTTTATTTGAAATGTGTGTGGGTTAGATGTTGCTCTATGTATTCTGATCTCGGTAAAGCCAGGGTAGGCAGTGTTTCTGGCAGTATGTTGTAGTTCAAGCGGCTTCAGACAGTCAGCCTGTGGGGGGAGTTATGAGGAGGTGTGATAGTATAAAGTGATCACGCAGGAGAAGGAGGTTGTGGTGGAGCATGAATCCTGTATGAAGCCACAGTTAGACTGGTAGGGTTAGGTTTTTGGAAATCTGTCTCGATAACTTCCCCTGCTGTGTCGACAGACACAACAGTTTGGGGTGGGAAGTTAAAGGAACTGCACTGGCCGTCACACGTTGTCAATTCTCTCTGATTCCTTCTTGTCGTGGTTAGTGTCATATTGTTTTCTGACTTGCTCCGTTAGCTTAGAGTTTGGTCTGATTTGTGCTCTTGAGTAGAGATTGTAGTCTCTTTCTTTTGGGCTTCCGCCTTCGAAGTTTGTCTGGTTTTTGCATTTGTTTTCTTCAGTAGTTGATTAATCTATTTTCGTCACGTCACCTGGCTGGTGTCATATTGTTCTTCCAGAACAGGTTCTACTTTCTGATTTTTTCGGGTTAGACTGGTACGGTTAGGGTTAGACTGGTAGGGTTAGACTG